GTAGGCTTCTGTCCCCTTTTCGGAGCCAGTGTAACCACCTTCCACCACAGATAAGAGACTGGCCCAATGCCACTGTGTGCTGGTTCCTCAGTCAGTCTGGATTTTCATGTTTCCTGCTCTTTCTCCTCTCAGGGCCCCCATGCTGCTTGGGCCTTGTACCAGTTGAAGAGGTGGACAGCCCTGACTCCTGCCAAGTGGGGGGAGGAGACTGGTGTCCCCAGCACCCCACGGGGGCCTACATCGGACAGGAACCTGGGATGCAGCTCTCGCCGGGACCACCGGTGCATGTATCTTTTGAAACACCACCTCCCACAATTTAGGCAGAAGCCGGTATTCTAGAAAGACTATATATTGTTTTTTCTTTCTTAAAAAAAACAGAGACAGAGAAAATTGGTATTTATTTTTCTATTATAGCCATATTTATATATTTATGCACTTGTAAATAAATGTGTATGTTTTATAATTCTGGAGTGACTTAAGGAATCCTATCCACTGAGGTTGGAGAGGGAAAATAAAGAAGCTGTCACCTAACAGAAATCACCCAGAAAAGCACCGCACAGGTTGGCGCGGGACCGACTCCTCACCTGGGGCCTCTGCAGCAGCAGACAAGGCCCACAGATAAGCTGGCCAGAGGAAGGATCCCAGGCATGTGGTTCATGAGGACCATGAGGGAAAAGCAGGGGTCATGGTATCACAGCCCGGAGACACCCACACAGCTGGCTGGATCCGGTGCTACTGGAAACATTTTCCTAAGATGGCCATGAGAACAGACCAAGATGTGTACAGCACTATGAACATTAAAAATCCTTCCAGAATCAATAATCCGTGGCAGCATATCTCTGTAAAAACAAACACTGTAACTTCTAAATAAATGTTTAGTCTTCCCTGTAACCTTCAACTGAGTCATGTCTGAGTCAGCATTTTCTTTAGATGTTAGAATTCAGTCTCTAAGTATTTGAAGAAAATACCCACTTGCCATATTTTCAGGTTCATCAGATGTGAGATCTGGAAAAGGTACCAAATGTTGCTTTTTTTTTTTTTTTTTAAAAGAGTGAATGTCAGTTGTGCTTGGATTAATGCAGAACACATTACTGTTTAGTCCAGAAGGAAGCTGTTGTACAACAGACCAGGAAAAACAGATTCACAGTTCTCTTACCAACTGGACTTGAGATGAAGTTCAGGTCATATTGAAGAAATAAAACTAATCTTTTTTATATAGGTGTATGTTGAAGACCAAATATTTTCTCCAAAATACTATTTAAAGTGCTGTGCCACACATGAACATATGGCGTGTGATAAATTCACTTCCCTTCTTTCTAAAGAGACACCAACACTGCCAGAGTAGTTGACTCAATAGTTTAAAATCAACATTTACTTACTGTCATCCAACCAAAGGATCAAGCGTAGATTTTTTCAACTGAAATTTTAAAATATCTACGTGTGGAAGTGGAACTAGATGGAGACTGACACAATGAAAACTACACTTTTGAGTTTTGGGGCTGGGGAGTGTGGGGGGTGGGGCGTATTTTCTAAATTTCAGCAAAATTGAGTTATAGGTGAAATGCCACTTGAGACAATCTCGTTAAGCAGGGGGCAGACCCTGGCTTCCAAACATGAATTCTACAACTGGGGTCCCAGGGAAGCCTGGGGCATTGAGTCACTCTGACTGTTTAGTGCAAGTGCATCCTCTGCTGGCCAAAGTAAGTATAGCACCTGCCATTCCTCAGACTTTTGCATCCTTTTTCCCTCAAATAGCTAAAAGTCAGAACTACTTATGGAAATACAGCATGGTTTTCAGGAAAGCAGAATTTAAAAAACATTTTTTAAAAAGGACTGTAAGGAACATGTAAATAAAAGGAAATGAGAAGCAGAGACGAGAAAAAATACTGTGATTTCAGACACGCCCAGAGCTCACTTCTGGAGTAGGCAGGGCTGACAGGCTCTCAACCATTGCTTTGCTATCCAGAGGCCGCCCCGCTCAACCTGAGCTGTAATTCACCTTCTAGCCGCACTGGCTTTTACATTTTTTCCTTTTTTTTCTCCTTGATAATCTAAGGTAGTTGTCAAAATTAATTTTGGTGAACTTTACTGATCTATGAAACATCTCCTTTCTGCATAGCACTGGAATCATAACACTGAATGGTTTTAGCTCTGAAGAAAAACTTAGCACATGGCTCACAGACCTCCCTAAGGGTGGGAGCCTGCTGTGGTGGGACAGGCTGACTGGCAGGCATGAGCAACTCCTTTACTCCAAAGTTGTGACAGAGGTTTTTTTCTTCCAATGCTGAGATTGATTATCGGTGATACTATGGATGGCAGTTCAGAATAACCAAGTTATATGAACAACTGACTCACAAGTAACTCAGTGTAGGCAGATTGTTGGCCTCACCCTTAGAGGTGAGGCCACTCCTCTGGGAGCATGGCAGGAGGCTGGCAAGTGTGCCAGGAGCAGAACAGCCTCCTAGCAGCCACCCCCTACCCGCCCTGCCCATGCCACACCCTGCTGGTCCACTTGTGTTTGAAGCTTAACTTCCCAAAGACTCAGATGCTCTAACTTTAAGATGCTCTAACTTTACAGATTTAAGGCCGGAGGTATCACGCTACCTGATTTCAAATTATACCACAAGGCTACGGTAAGCAAAACAGCATAGTACTGGTACCAAAACAGAGATATAGACCAATAGAACAGAACAGAGGCCCTGGAGGCAACACCACACATCTACAGCTATCCTGTCTTTGACAAACTGGACAAAAGCAATGGGGAAAGGATTCCCTGTTTAACAAATGGTGTTGGGAAAACTGGCTAGCCATTTGCAGAAAGCAGAAACTGGACCCCTTCCTGACACCTTACACTAAAATAATCCATCTGGAGTTAAAAGACTTAAACATAAGACCTAACACCATAAAAACCCTAGAAGAAAACCTAGGCAAAACCATTCAGGACAAAGGCATAGGTAAGGGCTTCCTGACTAAAACACCAAAAGCACTGGCAACAAAAGCCAAAATAGACAAATGGGACCTAATTAAACTCCAGAGCTTCTGTACAGCCAAAGAAATAATCATTAGAGTGAACCAGCAACCAACAGAATAGGAAAAAACTTTTGCAATCTACCCATCTGACAAAGGGCTAATATCCAGCATCTACAAATAACTAAAATAGATTTACAAGAAAAAAACAAATCCATCCAAAAGTGGGCAAAGGATATGGACACTTTCCAAAAGAAGACATACATGAGGCCAACAAACATATGAAAAAATGCTCATCACTGGTCATTAGAGAAATGCAAATCAAAACCACATTGAGATACCATCTCACGCCAGTTAGAATGGAGATCATTAAAAAATCGAGACAACAGATGCTGGAGAGGATGTGGAGAAATAGGAACACTTTTACACTGTTGGTGGGAGTGTAAACTAGTTCAACCATTGTGGAAGACAGTGTGGCGATTCCTCAAGGACCTAGAAATAGAAATTCCGTTTGACCCAGCAATCCCATTACTGGGTATATACCCAAAGAATTACAAATCATTCTATTATAAAGACACATGCACACCTATGTTCATAGCGGCACTGTTTACAATAGCAAAGACCTGGAACCAACCCAAATGCCCATCAAGGATAGACTGGACAAGGAAAATGTGACATATATACACCATGGAATACTATGCAGCCATAAAAAGTGATGAGTTTGTGTCCTTTGTAGGGACATGAATCAATCTGGAAACCATCATTCTCAGCAAACTAACACAAGAACAGAAAACCAAACACCTCATGTTCTCACTCATGGGCTGGTGATGAACAATGAGAACACATGGACACAGGGAGGGGAGCATCACACACTGGGGTCTGTTGTGGAGGGCCAAGGGAGGGACAGCGGAAGGGGGATGGGGAGGTTGGGGAGGGATAACATGGGGAGAAATGCCAGATGCAGGTGACGGGGGGATGGAGGCAGAAAACCACATTGCCATGTGTGTACCTATGCAACAATCCTGCATGATCTGCACATGTACCCCAGAACTTAAAGTGCAATTCAAAAAAAAAAAAAAGGACTAAGCCTGGAATCAAATTGAAATGAACCTAAAGCTATCAACATATTTTGTCCAATTCAAAATAAAGTAATTGAGTGTTAACTGTCTTGTCAATTCCCAAACATGAAAAATGAAGCCCTGAATATTAAGAACTAGTGACTTAATCTAGCTTAATTTGGGAATAAATAATTATCTCGATTAGTTTTACTCTCAGTTGAAATAAACACACATTGAATCCTGACGTGCCTCTTGCATAGACTCTCGATTCGTTCTTGCTGCAATCAGAATCATAGAATTTCAGAATGGGAAGGAACCTCAGAGCTTCTACCAATCCTTCATTTATCAGATAATGAAATAAGGCCCAGGAAGATAATGTAACTTCTCCTGATTCTCTACAACTACCAAGGGGATGGTATCCCTCAAGACCTTTCTCGGAGACCAGCCACTCTCTCCAGGCAGCTGCTACTTGTGGCCCCCACGAAGGCCCCCGCAACCCCAACCTGGTATTCACACCCTGTTCAGTCCCCTACCACACTGCACAGGGTCAGCCTGTGACCCATATGACAATAGTGACAGTATGTCACTTCTGAGCTTAGGCTGTAAAACGTAAAAGACTGTGGCTCTTGTGTGCGTCGTTCTCTCTTGCTCTCCCCCTCACTCTTGGATCACTTGCTCTGGATGAAGTCATGTCCTGAGCAGCCCTATGAAGAGGTCCACATGGCGAGGAACAGAGGCCCTGCCAAACGGCCAAGGGAGTGAATTTGTTAGTAGCCCCTCCAGCTCCAGCCAAGCTTCAGATGGCAGCAGCCCCAGCTCCCAGTGTGACTGCAACTCCATGAGAAACCCTGAGCCAGAACACCCGGCCAAGCTGTCCCCTGTTTCCTGGACCTCAGAAACCCTCTCACCCCTGGCTGAGATAAGTTTGTAAGTGTGAGGGTAATTTTTTACCACAATAAATAAGAAATTCGGAGCTATGAATAGCATACTTTTAAAAATACTTGAAAGGCACACATGGTTTAGGATATACAACACAGAAAGTGATTTTTTTAAAAAGTGGGTGCTCTCCAGTAGAGAAGTGACTGCATCAGAAATTAATGGTGACAAATGCAAACAATGATGTATTCTGACCTCTTAAATAGGAATATGAAAGAATCTTAGGAAGACAATAGGCCACCTCTAAGAATACTCTGATGTACAAAGAAAGCAAGTCCTGCTTCTAATTTTGGGGGGAGATTGACAGGCTAATCACAGGTGAGGAAGACTTGGCATTGCTGAGTTCCCTTGTACATTTATGCAAAGTTGCCTTCTTCACCTGCCCTTCTCAGTGACCAACTTATCCTGGGATAGCCTCAATTGAGTAACTCATTAATACAGAGCTCTTAATCTAACGAGCTATGCTGTTACTAACAGGACTCCAAATGTCCGTGAGATTATCCTTCAACGGCTACAGCCATGAGCCTCAATGAGAACCTACCCCCCCAACCAAAAGGATACTCTTACATTAGCTTAAAATCTTATGGGTAATCAAAAGCGATTGTTAAAGATGATCTCTAAATCTTAATCTATTTCGTTATCTCCTCCTCTGTATCAAACCCTGCAAATGGCCCAAGTAAAACCTGAAAGACAATGGCAGAGGACATGAGAAACGATGGGGAAAACTTAGAATTCTGATGGAGTTGCAGAAAGCTTTAGAGAAAAGCCTCCTTGTTGACCGTTTTATAAAGCTCGCTCCTCTGCTCCACTCAGAACCGAGGAGCCTACAAAAACTGTGGACAAGCCAAGAAGGCTGGTTATTTTCCTGCTTTCTGCCAACCCAAAGCAAACTGCTCTGCCATGTCTGTTTGTATTTCCTGAATCCTGAGCCCTCAAATAACTGCTTTATGAAGCCTACCATGCCAACACTGAAATTTGCATTTCTATTCTAAGATACCATTGGCAAAAGGTCTTTTTCTTCTGCATTATCTCAGAGTACACTTAAAAACATCTAAGTTTATTTTCTAAGGATCAAGAAAACAAAGTTTTCTCATTAATTGCTGAATGATAGTTTTTCTTGCCAATGGCTAAAAATTCAGCATACCCCCAAATAGAATTTTCCTAAAACAAAATACATTACAGATGCTTTGCTGCAATGATGAGACACAGCTTTCTGAGACTTCATATTCAATCTAGTAGTTCCCAAACATCTGAAATGATTCCATTCTACAACAGAGGTTGGGTGCTGCAGTCGGTTCTAAAATAACCAAATTGTAGAGCGATTCTTAAAGCTACATGACTGGATCTGGTTTTAGACTTTCAGACAAAATACTTTAAAATCACTTTAAAATGATAAGATTGTTGCAGGTGACAAGGAGATAGAGCTTTGGATGAGTTATGTGAGAAATCATGCATGGGTTTGCGAAAACAGCAAACTCAGAGGTCCATGGGCTACATCTCATTCTCTTGTGGAGACTGAATGGGTGGGAGGATAAGGCCGCCTTTCCTACGCAAAAGAGCAATCTCCTCCTTTAAGGCCGAAATCCTTTCCGCCTGGAGTTGGATCAGTTCAGTGACCTCCTCTCTTGCCACAATATCTGCTTCTCGAGGGCCCTGGAAGGCATTGCCCTGTTGAAAGAAAACACCTCCCCGTTGAAGCAACATTTGGCATGTGAAAAACTCCACATCCTTATACTGTGTATCTGCGATGAGTGCTGGCCTGACAGTCACCCTAAACAGCCACTGCTTTCTACTCTTAGGAGCCTTAAACTCCTCCGCTAAAATCTCACCATTAGAAATGTGTGCCTTTGGACTAATGAACAACTCAAGTGAAAATCCTCTTTGGATGCATGCACTTTAAGCTAGCTATCAGTCAGTCATTAGAGAGCTCATCTCTGGAATAATAAAAGACAGACTGTCTTTCTTTTTCTGGACAGCCTGTATTTTGGTTCCCAGAATGACATCTTCTCTTCCCTCATCCGATTTCTTTCCCCATCCAGCTGACTCCTACTTGGGTTTCACACATCATTTTCAGGGAGGCCTTCTTTGCCCCATGGGCTAGGTTAGGATTTTCTGCTTTCCGTTTTATTGAAACATCCATTATACATATACCTCACTATAATTTACAGAATGAACCATATAATATTTATGATATTTGACAATTTTTAAATCTAAAAGAACGGCAATTTAATACGGTATGACCGAAATGCTTGATACCTATCTTTCTGGCTAGATCCTGTCTTTTAGAGACAAAGCCTCACCACTCTGTCCAATACCTGCCCTAGTGCTTTCTGCATCAGTAGATGCTCAATAACATTTGAATGCGTGAATACATCTGTGAGAGGAAAGACATAATACTTGCATGGTGCCCACTCTGTGGAAGGTGCTTTGCAGATGCTCTCTCATCTAATCCCCAAAACAACTCTGAACTGAGTTGTATCATTCCGGTTTTACAGATAAGGCCACTGCGACTCAGAGGGTCATTAACAAGCCAAGTCAAGCTGGAAGCAGGGTTAGAAACAGGTTGCCTGATGCTAAAGTCCACACTTTTTCTATTACTCCTATGTACTGTAGCAGACCTTCATAGTCAGTAAGTGTTACCCAATACCCTCTGCCTCTTCTCCCTTGCTCACCTTTTTTTTTATTAAGTTCTGGGGTACATGTGCCAATCTTGCAAGATTGTTACATAGGTATACACATGCCATGGTGGTTTGCTGCATCCACCTCCCCTGTCACCTACATTAGGTATTTTTCCCAATGTTATCCCTCCCCAACCTCCCTACCACCTGCTATCCCTCCCCTAGCTCCCCACCCCCCAACAGACCCCAGTGTGTGATGTTCCCCTCCCTCTGTCCATGTGTTCTCATTGTTCAACACCCACTTATGAGTGAGAACATGCGGTGTTTGGTTTTCTGCTCTTGTGTCAGTTTACTGAGAATGATGGTTTCCAGATTCATCCATATCCCTGCAAAGGACATAAACTCATCCTTTTCTATGGTGCATAGTATTCCATGGTGTATATGTGCCACATTTTCTTTATCCAGTCTGTCATTGATGGGCATTTGGGTTGCTTCCAAGTCTTTGCTATGTAAACAGTGCTGCAATGAACATATGTGTGCATATGTCTTTATTGTAGAACGATTTATAATCCCTTGGGTGTATACCCAGTAATGGGATTGCTGGGTCATAATGGTATTTCTATTTCTAGATCCTTGAGGAATTGCCACACTGTTCTCCACAATGTTTGAGTTAATTTACACACTCACTTTTATTTTAGGGGCCGTTAAAGCTAAACACTAACCTTACACATTTTCTCTTCCAGCTAGAGGGAGCTATGTAGCTATAATCTGAAACTTTGCTTCTTAATAAAAGGGACTGAGACTGGTGCATGGATGTGAAACATAGGAGCTGAAGCAGCTGTCGTGTGACTTTGAAGGAAACTTTGGGAAAATCACAGAGTTACCGGCTCTGGCATCATGGGCCTACAAAACCAAAGGCTGTACAGTCATTCTCCCTCTAGACTTCTTGCCAAGTGAGAAAAATGACTCCTATTTATTTAAGCTACTCTCAATAGGGCTTTCGGTTACTTGCAGCTAAAAGCATGCCTGATACACCAATGCATGTTCAGTCATTCCCACTGGTTACTTTGAAGTCTCCTAACTTTCCCCTCCTTCTCACCAGATTCAATCAAATTTTGGCTATTCTTACTTTAAAATGTCTTTTGACATTTGACACATTTTTGTTGTCATCAACTGTATCCCAATGCATGCCTACATCACTGTTAAGAAGCAACGGTCAATTGTAAGAAGCAATGGAGTCAGCGTTGGAGGCAGACAGACCTGAATTTCAAAACTAACTTCACCATGCATTAGCTCTGAGAGCTTCAGCAAGTTACTGAACTCCTCTGAGCTTTAGAAAGTAGTGTTTTGAGGATTAAATGAGATATCCTATGTGAAGAGACCATGCATGTAAAGATATTCTGTGTAAAGTGACAGATACTAGTAATTTTCTCTCCCATTCAACTGATCTCCTGCCTCTAAGCTTTTTCCTCTCCAATGTATCTGGACTGATCAAAGCGCATCAAGTCAATAAGTGTTGACTGACTGCTCAGTCTGTGAAGATTTGGGTTAGGCATTAACCTTGTCAAACACTGCCTTGATCTTTCACTTACAAGTTACTCGTAGAAAAAGACCCCTGAATATTCAAATTCTAGTCTTCCTTTCACAACTAATCTTCAATTATAAGCCTTCGAAATCCTTCTAATTCACATTTCATGGAATAAACAGCATTACTTCTTACTTTAAAACTTTTGCTTAGACCAGTGATTCTTAAACTCTAGCATGCTTCAGAATCCCCGGGAAGGCCGGTTAATGCAGACTGCTGGGCTCTCCCCAAGGGCTTCTGAAGCAGTACAACTGGGTTGGCACCCTAGGACCTGCATTTCAAACAAGTTCCCTGGTGAAGCTGATGCTCTTCTTCAGGGGACCAAACTGTTAGAACATCTAGCTTAGACCATTTCCAGGGTGCTGAAGGAAAACACAAAGCAAAGAAGACCAAGGGAAACAGCTGATCTTTTTGCAGATAATATTGTAAGTATATAACATAGAGTTTAGAATATGCCATACATGTGTTAAGTCCCTAGAAGGCAAGACTTGGATTGGGTAAATATTTATTATCTACCACATACGATGTATTAAGTGCAATGTTAGGCTGACTAAATATTAGATAATAGCAAGTTGAAACCCACACAAAGTAACAAGCATTTAAATAAGATAACAGGGTAGGCTTCACCATTCAAGATGCCCACTTCAAGTCAAATGAAATAAACAGATATTGGAAATAGATGTTTGACGCCAAACTCAGGGAGTATAATGGTGTCATTATTTATACCGAAGTAACCTTACCTCTCCAGGACCAAGGCAATTCTATTGATAAGTACTTATATGAGTTCATGGCACCCAAGAGGCATTCAATAAAGCTAGTCCCTCAGGCCCACGTAACGTGACTAACACCAACTCAGTGTCCTTAGGGATGCAGTTGGCCCGGAAGTGGTCCAAGATCAAGCAAGTTTGTTTAAATGCTTAACATTCTTGTGAATAAGCTACTTTAACAGAGCTTCCTCAATTCTGAAAAAGGGTCTGAAGAAAAAGAACATACCTGCTGATTCTGTAGCGTATTCAACCGAGAATCAAGTTTCTTCTTTTCAATACACAAATCATTCATCTGATAAAGCTTTCTGGTATGTTCTTTTGTCTTCATCATCACTTCCCATCGCATCTGGGCAATTTTTTGCTACCAGGGTAGAAAGATGCAAAATAGATGTAGTAAGAGAAGAAATAAAGAAAAATAAGTGTCCAGATTTGGTGAGAATCATCAGGCAAATGGAGCAATGTGCACACATGAAATATAATCAGAAGCCAATGTGAAAATGCAACACACAACTGCATTGGGCCTGGTTTGATTAAAGATAAGAATATAAGTATGCTCGAGAATAGGAGTAGGTATAAATAAGATAGAGATGGGCATCACTGTATTCTTGAAGAATGAAATTAGTATGCATACTGATTGCTGGTCCTCATTACTTAAAAGGAAGGATGATAATTTAAGCAGCTAACTTTTCTACGTTGCTCTTTCCCCAGTCTTGGCCCGGGATCCTTAAGGTTGATGGCTTGAATGGCCATACATCTGTATAATGGCTTTCTTTTGTTTTCTTGTTGCTCCATCAGTTGTTCACTGCAATCTCGAGCTTTTGGGCTCGAGTGATCCTCCGCCTAAGCCTCTCAAGTAGCTGGGACTACTGGTGTGCAACACCACACCCAGCTAATATTTTATTTTTTATAGAGACAGGGTCTCACTATATTACCCAGGCTTCCAGAAAATTATTTTAGATTGCATATATTATCTCTAGCATTCCCTTAATAGGGACCAGTCCCACTGACATGAACACTGTTTGCTTCTTTAAACTACAGTGATCCATCTTAGATTAGAAAAGTTGCAATGGGGCCACTGGACAACACAGCACTAGGAAGCACTCCTCCTACCCCATCTGCTAATGAAATAAGACAGGAAACTGGAGGCGTCATCATGATTTGCGGACTTAGAAGATCTTTGTCAAAGCTCCTGCCTCTGAATCAGGTTGGAACCAGGGCACGGCTCATGGTTCTCATCTCATGGCTCAGGGAACAATATGTAAGCATTAACATCCTCTAAGAGTCTGTCAGCCAAATAGTCTATGCCGTGTTACAAAATGTATTACTTAGAGGTGTTTCATAATTTCCAAATTGGTACAGCATACAAAAGCCATCAGTAATACAATTTGAGCCCGAGAGGATAGCTGCTCCATTTCTAAAGCTGTCAGGGCATTTATAACTTTTTCAAAAATTAAGCTTCAGGCATACATGTACAGGCTTGTTACTTCGATATACTGTATAATAGTGAGGTTTGGGTTTCTGGTGGACCCATCACCCAAATAGCGAACCCTGTACCAAATACGTCATTTTTCAACCCTCACCACGCCCTCCTCCCTGCTTGGGGAGTCCCCAGTGTTTGTTATTTTCATCTTTGTGTCCACATGTACCCATTGTTTAGCTCCCACTTATAAGTGAGAACATGCAGTATTTGATTTTCTGTTTCTGAGTTATTTCATTTAGGATAATGGCCTCTGGCTCTATCTGTTTCTGCGAAGGACATGATTTCATTCTTTTTATGGCTGCATAGTAATTCATGGTATTCCATATACATATACATACGCACAGCATATTTTCTTTATCTGACTGGTGTGAGATGATATCTCATTATCTCATTGTGGTTTTAATTTTCACTTCTCTGGTTAGTGATATTGAGCATTTTTTAATATGTTTTTTGTCTGCAGAGCATTTATACATTAACGTAGGCCTCAAAATGAGATCTCTCCATCATCTTTCATCCATTTCACATCACATTTATATGCACCCTGGGCCCCAAAACCTAGTGCTGGTGCTCTCACCCCAAGATAAACAAATCCCTCTAACTAAGTGAACAGGAAGGAAGCCGAGACAGGCCTAAGATCCCGAGGCAGCCAAAGGGGGTCCACGGACCAGCTCCAGATGCTTCACAGGTACCTCTTCCAGCCCCCTGGAATTTCTTGCCTCCAGCCAGATTCAACCAAAGATCACCTGCCCTCTCCCCCTTACCTCCCACATCTTCATCTCCTTCGCATTCGCTAGCTCCTTTCGAAGTTTTCTGATCTTCAGTTCTTCAAGTGTTGTATTAACAGAAAGCGTCTGAAGGGCTTCTAGGTTTACCACACGGCCAAACTTGCTGATCATGAGTTGACGGACTGTTTCCTCCATTTCTAAAAGAAGACAGTCACTGGCTCAGGTTGTTCAATAGCTCCCATTGTTATAAATGAACACCAGGAACAGTAAAGTTCCAAGGAACTGCTTTTGCAAGACAGTGAAAGATTTTATGTCATCAGTGATTTTTCTTCTGTGACTTTTTGCCTACTGCTTTCCTCACTTAAAATGCCAATTCAGTACTGTCTTTTCACCTTCCGAATCCTGTGTGAAACTGACTCATTGTTCCCAACTGGCTTACACACTTTGCATTTTTTTTCAAATATAGAGCTTTACAGCATCTAGTATTAAGAATAGAGCAGGCACTTCAGAAAAGTGTCCAACTTACTCCAAGTAAATAATGACAGTCCCTTTGGGAATTCAGGAGGCCCTGCATGGTCGGCCTGCCTGCCCTCCTTTCTCTCCCCCGCTGCTTTCTCATGCCTCTCCTCCTCAGTACCCTACTCTAGACACACTGGCCTCCTCTGTGCTTCTCAGACATGACAGACTCACCCCAGCCTCAGTTCCTTCAATCTGAACTGCTCTTCCCCAGAGATCCACATGGCTTGTTCCTCCCAGCCCATTTACTAGAAGCATGCTGAGACTGGAGCTGTGACCAAGAGCAGGCTCTTATCCTCTAACCAGGGAGAGCTACAAATAATCAGATGTGCTGCCTTTCCACGGACCCTTTCCCTGTTTCCCTCAGACCTCAGCACTTTCTCAATCCAGTTTTAATTTTTCTTCTTAGCAATTATCTAGCATGTAATATCTAGCATGCAATATATTTTACTTTTGATAGTTCTTTCCCCAATGTGAAAACACTAGAACACCTCTCCAAGAAAACAATCTTATAACAGGACTTTCTCAGTGACCAGACTGTCCCCTAAGCGAAGTTTGAAGGCTCTAATATGTAGCAAGACGATTCAATTCTTTTATAGTGCAGAAATTTGTATTTGGGCATAATTGTTACGATTTATGTTTGAATTAGCATAGTATAATTGGCATGGCTGTCACTGTACACAATCCAGGAGGGGCTATTCTCTTTCTGTTGTCGATGAGTGGTGCACCAGGGACATGTATAATGTGGTGGCTATCGTCATCAGTGAGGCAAATCAAATGACGAATGGATGATGTGCACGAGTGTGCTGGCCTGTGGCTACCTGCCTGGCCTCTCTCAGTAAGAACTTTGATTCCCCTCAGGCAGTCCGACCCCCATACAAGGGGCTGCCCTCTCACACGGCAGCTTCATGTACCAGAACGTGTAGTCTGGTCCTTGCCAGCTCCATTGGGGAGCCAGCCTAATGTCCTTCTCCTGAGCTGACAAGGCCAACTAGTGCTGACTACAGACATAAAGTCTTCTGGAACACTCACTACCCACCTTCCCCATGGCCATGAGCTGTGCTTTCCCTAAAACGGAGAGAACTTACTCCTCCTCACCCCCATGTTCTAGGCTCCCCTATTCTTCTCCATTGGATCTAGGGATAGAGAAAGGCAACAAGCCAACTGAAGTGTTATTCATCACTTCTAAGCCATATGGTCCAGCCATATATCCCACTTCTGGACACATATCCAAAAGAAATGGAAGTAGAGACATACACAGATATTTGTACAATCATGTTCATCACAGTACAATTCACAATAGCCAAAAAGTAGGAAGCAATCCAATTGCCCATTGACAAATAAATGGGTGAACAAAATGTGGCATGTACATATAATGAAATACTATTTGTCTTAAAAAGAAAGAAAATTCTGACACATGCTACAATATGGAGGAACCTGAAAGCCATTATGCTCAATGAAATAAGACAGTCACAAAAAGACAAATACTGTATTATTCTCCTCACTATGAAGAACTTCAAGTAGTCAAGTTCATAGAGACAGAAAGTAGAGTGGCAGTTTCCTGGAGCTGAGGGAGACAAAATGGGAATTAGTGTTTAGTGGAGTTGGGAAGATGAAAATGCTCTGGAGATGGATGCTGGTGATAGTTGCACAATCATATGAATGTACCTAGTGCCACTGGACTGTCCACTTGCAAACGGTTGAAATAGTAAATTTTAATGTACCTTGCACTGCAATTTAAAAAATAGAAATTATTAACCCTAAAATAAAAGATTGATCAATTAAAATCACACAGTTATTGTTCATCAAAAGCCACCATAAAACAATCAACAAAGTAAAAAGACAACCCACAGAATGGGAGAAAATATTTGCAAACTATTCATCTGACAAGGGTTTAATAACCGGAATATATAAGGAGCCCAAACAACTCTATAGGAAAATATCCACTAATCCAGTTTTTAAATGGGCAAAAGATCTGAAGAGACACTTCTCAAAAGAAGACATACTGGCAAACAGGTATATGAAAAGGTGCTCAACATCACTGGTCATCAGAGAAATGCAAATCAAAACTACAAAGGGATATCATCTTACCCCTGTTAAAATGGCTTTTACCCAAAAAACAGGCAGTTAACAAATGCTGGTGAAGATGCAGAGAAAATGAAACTGTCATACACTGTTAGTGGGAATGTAATTAGTACAGCCACTTGGAGAGCAGTTTGGAGATTCCTCAAAAAATTAAAAACAGAGCTGCCATATAATGCAGTAATCCCACTGCTAGATAATTACCCAAAAGAAAGAAAATCAGTATATTGAAGAGATACCTACACTCCCATATTTATTGCAGCACTATTCACAATAGCTAAGATTTGGAAGCAAATTAACTGTCCATTAACAATGGATAAAGATAGATAAAGAAAATGTGGTACATGTAGACAATGGAGTACTCTTCAGCCATTAAAAAATAAGATCCATCTGGGCACAGTGACTCATACCTGTAATCCTAAGGCTTCTGAGTCTGAGGCAGGTGGATTGCGTGAGCCCAGGCTGGACAAAATAGCAAGATCCCATACATGAAAAAAACTAGCCAGGTGTGGGGGTGTACACCTGCAGTCCCAGCTACCCAGGAGGCTGAGGCAGAAAGATCACCTGAGCCCAGGAGGTCAAGGCTGCAGTGAGCCATGATTGTGTCACTGCACTCCAGCCTGGGAGACAGAGTGAGACCCTGTCTCAAAGAGAGAGAGATCTTGTCATTTGCAATAACATGTATGGAACTGAAGTCATTACATGAAGTGAAATAAGCCAGGCACATAAAGACAAATGTTGCATGCTCTCACTTAGTTGTGGGAGATAAAAATTAAAACAACTGAACTCATGGAGATAGAGAACAGAATGATAGTTATTAGAGTCTGGGACGGATAGTGAGGCGGGGGATGTGGGAATGGTTAATGGGTACAAAAATAGTTAGAATGAATAAGATCCGGTATTTGATAGCCCAACAGGGTTACTATAGTCAGTAATAACTTAATTGCACATTTAAAAGTAACTAAAAGAGTATAACTGTATTGTTTGCAACACAAAAGATAAATGCTTAAGGTGATGATACCCCATTTACTCTGATGTGATTATTAGACGTCATATCTCTGTATCAAAATACCCCATATCTCATAAATATACATACCTACTATGTACCCACAAAAAATAAGATTTTAAAACAAATTTTTAATTACCTTTAAAAAGCCTCAGCTGGGTGTGGTGGCTTATGCCTGTAATCCCAACACTTTGGGAGGCCAAAGAGGGTGGATCACCTAAGGTCGGGCGTTCAAAACCAGCCTGACCAGCATAAAGAAACCCCATCTCTACTAAAAATACAAAAAATTAGCTGGGCGTGGTAATGCATGCCTGTAATCCCAGCTACTTGGGAGGCTGAGGCAGGAGAATGGCTTAAACCTGGGAGGCAGAGGTTGACGTGAGCCGAGATGGCACCATTGCACTCCAGCCTGGGCAACAAGAGTGAAACTAGGTCTCAAAAAAAAAAAAAGCCTCCATAAAAGTGAAAACACAAAGGCAGATATTTGGAAAACATATAGGCAACAAAGGATTAGTATAAAAAATTAATTTCTACATATCAACTTTTAAAAGGCAAACAAATCAAGAGAAAAATGAATAAAATACACGAACAGACATTTTATAGAATAGGAAACACTAAAGGCCCAAAGACATACAAAATGTGCTTAAACTTATTAGTGGTTAGGAAAATGCAATTAAGACCATGAGTTGCCACTTTATACTTTCCAGTTTCACAGGTCTACTATGATTATTTATTTTCAATGATGTATGTAGCTCAAAGGGGACTCTTAAGTACCACTGGTTGGAGTGTAAGTTGGTATAATCATTCTGAAAGATAAGTTAACATTGTTTAAATCCTTATATGCCCTATGACCCAGCTGTTCTACTTTTAGGTATGAAACCCTTATGCTTTTAGAAATGCCTGTAAACATATACCATGTACAGGAATTTTCATAGCAGAATTGTCAAAACAAAAAAATATAAAACAATTTAAATGTCCACTGTCAGCAGAAAAATAATTTTGGTAGAATCACATACTTTACAACAGTGAAAACAACAGCTATGTGCTACATCACATCTAATCTTATGAATATAATATTAAATCAAAGAGTATGTTTCAAACGGCTGCATCTGGTATAATATTTCTAACAAGTCCTAATGCAATATATTATTTAGAAATACGTATAAGTATGTTACAACTTTTTTTAATGAAAGGGAACACTAAACATAAAATTGGGAATAGTAGTTGTCTCTGAATATGGGGAGACAGAATGGGACAGAAAGAATGCACACAGGCAGATGTTACGGTGTTGCTAATACAGTTAATAAGTTGGGTGGTGGGTTCCCAGGATTCAGTCTGTTGGAATACTCCACCACTTATATGTATGTTCCACATATCAAATATTACAAAAGTGTTTTAAAAGATAATTATCTTTACACTATACATCTTATACTATATACTTTACAACACAGAAGTGTTTTAAAAGATAATTATCTTTACACTATACAACTTATACTATATACTTCAATTATAAGTGGGTTAAAAACCCAAATGTGAAGGGCACTACTAATTAGGAAACTACTGAAAATGATCTTTTTAAATTGACAAAAGTTGTGTATATGTATCATGTACAACATGCTGCTTTGAAATACACATACATTATGGAATGGCTAAACTGAGCTAATCAACTTAGGCATTACCTCACATACTTTCTTTTTCTTGTTGTGAGAACCCTTAAAATTTACTCTTAGCAATTTTCAAGAATATAATACATTAACTATAGTCATCATACAGTACAATAGATCTCTTGAAATTGTTCTTTGAATCTCACTGAAATTTTGTATCCTGTGGCCAACATCTCCCCAAACTGTACCCCAACCCACAACCAGACCCTGGTAACCATCATTATATTCTGTTTCTATGAGTTTAACTTTTTTATACTCTGCTTATAAGTGATGTCAGGTGGTATTTTCTTTCTATGCCTCTTATTTCACTTACCATATTGTCCTCCAAGTTTATCCATGCTGTTGCACATAATAGGACTTCTGTCTTTAACGCTGAGTAGGATTTCATTGTGTACATATGCTACATTTTCTTTATCCATGCATCTATTTATGGACACTTAGGTTGATTCTGTATCTTAGCAATTGCAAACAATACTGCAGTGAATGTAGGAATGCAGATATCTCTTCTGCATACTGATTAATAATTTCATTTTCTTTGGATATATACCCATGAGTGGAATTGCTGGACCAAAAAATATCTTTATGACCTCAAAATAGGAAGGGATTTCTTAAGCCAGACACACACACATACGCATAGTGCATAAACCATAATTAAGTGGAATGATAAAAATTACTATATTAAGATTTAAAACATCTGTATCCAAAAGATTCACTAGACAAAGTTTAAAAAAAAAAGAAGAAAAAAAAAGATGGCTGGGCGTGGTGGCTCACTCCTGTAATCCCAGCACTTTGGAAGGCCGAGGCGGGCAGATCATCAGAGGTCAGGAGTTTGAGACCAGCCTGGCCAACATGGAGAAACCCTATCTCTACTAAAAAATACAAAAATTAGGTAGGCATGGTGGCATGTGCCTATAATCCTAGCTACTCGGGTGGCTGAGGCAGGAGAATTGCTTGAGCCAAGGAGGCAGAAGTTTCAGTGAACCGAGATCGTACCACTGCACTCCAGCTTAGGTAACAGAGTGAGACTCCATCTCCAAAATCAAAAAAAAAAAAAAAAAAAAAAAAAAAAAAAAAAGACAAGCTACAAACCAGAAGAGATTTGCAGTGCATTTAATGGACAACACAAATATATTAAGAACTCCCTAAAATCAATTTAAAAACAAAAAATAGAAACCGAAAATGGGCAAAGGATAGGACAGGCAAGTTACAGAAAATAAAATAAATAAATAGCAAATAAATGTGTATAAAGATGTTTAACTTCACCAGCCATCAAAAAAATGTAAATAAAAACCACAGTGAAACATATTAACATCTTGCAGGCTGGCAAAAATATTGAAGTCTGACAGTATCGAGTGTTGCTGACAATACGGAGCCTGGGCAATTCTCACATATTGCCAGGGGGAGGAGAAATTTGTTCAACCCCTTTGGGGGCAACTTGGCAATATCCAGGAGAGCTGAAAATGTCCATATCCCTCTGTAACCCAGAGATCCAGTACTAGGATTCACCTTCTCACACATGTGCACAGGGAGATTTGTACAAGTAGGTTTACTGTAACATTGTCTATAAATATGAAAAACAAGAAATATCCTAAATATCCATCAATAGGAGGTTAAAGAAATAAAGTCTTTAATATTCATACAAGGGAATATTGTAGCAGTAAAATGAATAAACTATCTGTAGCTTACAAATAAGTCAAAATTTGGTTAAGTAAACCACAAAATGATATAAATATCATCACAGTTAAAAATAACGCAGGGTAGGTCTCTATATTGTGTGTGGACACATTCATATGTATGTGTGCATACCTGGTGTGTACCCTGAAGAAAGAGCAGCAGAATCGCATTAGAAAGAGGTGGGGCTTTGACTGTATCTCAATGTATTCTTTCTTAAGCTGGGTAGTGGGTACTTGGTTATTAGTCTATTATTCTATATTTTAGTCATACACAAAGAGAAGATGGTTCTATGATAAAAGATTTCTCCCTTTAAAATAGGACCGTGAAACTTTTCATGGTAACAGGAGAAATAGTGAGTAGGAAGATGCAAAGCTGTTCTTGTTTCCCTTCTCAGTGGTTCTGAGTCTGCAATTACTATTTCCACAACTGGAGACAGTCGCCTGGAAAAGTCCCTTTCTTACCAATAAACCTTACTAGCGAGGTGGTGGGCTTAGGTACTCACGCTGTATGGCTTTTGTCATTTCTTTCTTTTCTCGGATGAGCTGTTTGCGTCTCTCTCTCCATTCTTTGTTAAGTTTTTGCTGCTTGGCATTTTCCTCCTGGAGCTCATGGATTCGTTCTTGCAGCCGTTTCAAGGCATGGTTAGAGAAGACCAAAGTCCCAGAAAGATCACTAGGTATTTCTCCAAATACCACATACTCTATCTACAAGCATAACACAAGTCACAATAAAAAAGAAAACAGACAAAGACACAGATTTTGTATGGCAACAGAAAGCATAAGAGGTGCACTTCTTTCTCTGCCCCTCATTTAGCTCCTCAGCTTTGGGATCCTCCATCTTCCTCACCGAGTGACAGTGGCCAGGCAAACACAGAGAGATGTTGTCAGAGAGAAAGCCATGTCACATCTCTGTGGGGAGAGCAAATCCCACACAGATCATGCCTATTATCTACTGTATAACAACATGACAAACATTTCAAGGCTGGCATACTAGGCAACCTGCTACACATAGTTCATCCAGTTTTTGTCAGGTTACAGAAAACATACATAAAGCTGATTTTGTTATTGTTTTCCTAAAATACAGCTTTTTCTCTTAACCTGACAAAAGATAATACAATGAGCCTTTTCTCTCAATGATATGTATTCCTGCAATTTAATATAAGTTGCAGTTCAAGTAGAAATTAATAAGAAAAGTAAAAAAGAAAAAAATATTTCCCTTTGGTCTCGACCTCCCTCATCAATGAGTAGAGACTAGGCAAAGGTCATTTTAGCATCATTCGTCCATGCACAAGTAAAGATGGTGTGAAAAGTGACACTGGTGTAAGAGCCAACGTTTCACCTCTGAGCCATTCCATTCTTAAATCATAGGCTCTTCATTTCTCTAGACTTGAAATGACTGATTTCCAAAGTGCTAATGAGCTGTAGGGAAACAGGCATGTTTTGATGTTAGTCTTTTATAACAATCTGACAGTGGATAAGACAATTTAGGTGTCATCCTACAGGTAGAATTCTCAGCAAAGAACCAAGATTCTCCCCGTTAGTGAACCATGAATCTTTCTCTGAAAAGTTTGGGTGTGATGACTCTTCTCAGACAGGGTGGAGCAACTCTCCAGATGCATCACCTGGTGGAGCTTGAGCGGAATCACAACCAGCAGTTCATTCAGCCGCTGCTGCTTCTCTCGCTGATAAGCCTCCAGGGCCTCCTCTGCTGCATTCAGATTAGTTGCCACAATTTTCACCTGCAGAAAGCCCAGTGTTGTGAAATGGTGACAAGACTCAATGACCATACACCTAAAGGTGGTGAATGAAGGCATCTTGGGAGGAAATAAAGCATGAGCAGAATCTGCTTTGTTGGGCTGTGATTAAGTGCATGAACCCAGTTTGCAACTCAGGAATGCATATTATTTTCTTTCTGCCAAGTTATGATCCATGTCACTCTTTCAATCATTTCTATGACTCCAGAGTTACAACGTTTTGTGAATAAGAGCCTAGAAGACATGTCTTCATGTCCCTTCTATCTTCTGCATGAAAAGCAGCCCTCAGCATGGAATGTCTTTGACAGAATGGTGGGAATCTTTTTTGATCATAATGACTTCAACAAATAAAGTTTCATTGCTTTAAAGCAATGAAGCTGCTAACTATAGTATTTCTAAAGCACATTCTTCATGCCCTAGATAACGTGAAAGTTTTCCAAATCATTTCCTATTTGTGAGAGGAGAAATAATACATCAAAAATATTTCTGAACATGAATCAAGTTAAATGATGTTGTTCTACAGAAGAGTACCTAAGAGGCAAAGTAGGCAGATTAAGGCAGAAATTGATCAATATTATGCCAGAAGTTTATCTTGGTGATCTCCAACATGGGATGCATTCACCCTACAGAATCAACAAAATAATCTATTGGGGTACAAATTGAGAACGTCAGAGTTTATATTTCTACTTATTTTTATCTTGTTCTATTTAATTTGTTTTTATGGATGTTTCCTACTGTACAAAATATATAATAGTTCATAAATACAATTTATAAATACATGTACATTTATTATATGGGGAGGTGCTCCATTTTCTTTTTTTTTAACTTATAGAGTAATGTCATCAGAAAATTCTGGAGACCCATGACTGAGATAAAGTAACTCCAATTATCAAAAGAGCAATGTCCCCCACCACAATTTAGGGAGAAACAAACCTGGCCTTCACATTTGAAATGTTTTTTTCTGAGAAGTCCTAACATTGTCATTGCTATGAAATGGCAATATTACAGCGAGGAGAATGTATAGCATTTTGAAAGGATAAATAAGCCTACTTTTTTTGACAGTGTCTCATATTCCTTTTTGAGGTTATCGACAATTTTCTTTTCTTCAACTAAAGCCTCCTCAATGTCCAGCCTTTTCTCTCGAAGTTGAAGGGCCAGCTCAAAAAGAGTCACATCACAATCTGCCAAGAGAATTAAAATAAAAACCAGTCTCATCTGTTACGGAATGTGGTAGTACTAGAACTGTGACCTTTAGAGATTCAGAATCAATAATGTCTATTTATGGATGCACTCTAGCAGGCTTTTAAGACACTTATGGCTTAATTGTTCCAGTTTGAAATTATTAATAGAATTAATAACCATAATAATAGTATTGATATTCTGAGCAGTACTCAGAAGCAGACTTTGTGCTAAGCCCTTTATGTACATTATCTCACTCAAGGCTCATGGACCCCACAAGGCAGAAGCTACTGTTCCCATATATAGGTGAAGACCTTAAGTCCCAGAGAGGTGACATAACTGGTGTGTAACAGAATGGGATTCAAGTACATTATCTCTCTATTATTTCTACAATATCACACTAACAGCCACATTTATCCACCAAGTAATAGAGAATATAGAAACAGAATACTAAAATAGAATTCAGGAAGCTTAGGTCCAGCCCTCATAGTATACCATACTGTGAGTCATTGTTCAAGCCATTTAATTATCCTGCTATAAAATGAGTTGCATTAGAAGGTTTGTGTGCTCTATTTCACTCATAAATATTATGATTTTTAAGACCATCATATTCAAAAGTAAAACAAGATACAAACTTTATCTGAAATTAAACTTTTAAAATTTAATTAAAGCTTTATTTGAAATGTCTAGAAAAACAAATTATAGATCCCCAAACTTGTTTTTTCTCTACTGAACCACTCATCTATTGAGGCTGTAAGAAATTGGTCTGGCAGCTCCTGACTGGTTTCACCAGTGAAAACGGTGAATATAAACTGCCAACCATTTTCAGGAAACTAGACAAAATGCACCTACAAAGATTTGCCGCACAAAAATCTGAATAGATTTGTCAAAGAAGAAGATTATTGTAAAATAAACATACATATTACAGTCTGGCATTTCTTTATAAAATTAAACTTACTACATAATTTATAGCTCTGAATCAACTGTCAATTGTCTGCCAATTATTTGTCACTCATAAATGGCTGCCTAAGAGAACGGGTAATAAATCATCCAGAGAGCCCCCAAAAGTATTGGTTAACACTTTCCCCGACCATACTATTGGAAATAGCAACGTTCCTCTCCATCCTCGCTCCTGCACGCCCTTCATTTCTTTTCCCATGGCATGTAATACTTTCTAATATTCTGTTTAATTGTCTTTTTCCACTACACTATAAGCTCCATGAGGATGGAGGAGTTTATTTTATACTCTGATGTCTCCCTAGCATCAGACAAATGCCTGGCACATAGAAGTTAAATATTGTTGAATAAATATCCTTATACTTTAAAAAAGGCATTCATTAGACTCTATTTCATACATTTTAAATCATCCTTTCTTTGAATTATCAGAGAACAGACAAACAAAAAAATGGCCTTCTCAGTATTGCCAATAAATAGTCACACTTCATAGAGAATACAAGGCTTTTATCTAACTTACTCGATGGGCAAATAGAATCATCAAAAACCTCATCTTCAGATCCAGACTCATCCTCATCACTCTCCAAGCTAGATTCTTCTTCACTTGATTCCTCACTTTCCTCATCTTCATCTAAGGAAAGATGAGGACATTGTTAACAAGAGAAGTTTCCATGTTAAACTAAATACTAGATTTTTAAAGTAAACTATTTTTCAATGACTCAGTCACTAGCAAAATAACTTGATCAATATAAGAGTTTTAAATAGTTAAAGACACAAAGAACACAAACCAAATGCCTGCAGAAGGTTGTGCAGTTACTATAAATGGAAGTCAGAGGAGTCTGAGACCAAGTTGCCAAGCTGCAGATGTTGTAGTCCACCTAACACACAGTTAGTGAAATAGACTCACAATTCCTAACTCATAAGATGCTCTAAAATCACAAGTGATTCTTTCCTTCCTTCCCTCCTTCCCCTTCTTTTCCTTTTTCCCTTTCTTCCCATCCGCCCTCCCTCCCTTTTTCTTCCCTCCTTACTTCCTTCCTGCTTCCCTCCTTCCTCCACTCCCCTCTCTCCTTCCCTCCTTCATTCCTTCGTTCCTAGATCTGGCTTTGTTGCCCAGGCCGTAGTGCAATGGCACAATCTCAGCTCAATGCAACCTTTGCCTCCTGGGCTCAAGCAATCCTCCCGCATCATCATGTCCAGCTAATATATGTATTATTATTCTTATTTTTGTAGAGACAGAGTTTCGCCATATTGGCCAGGATGGTCCCAAACTCCCGGGCTCAAGAGATCCACATACCTGGGCCCCCCAAAGTGCTGGGATTACAGGCATGAGCCACTGGGCCTGGCCCTGAAAAGATTTTCATAAGTTTTATGAACTGAAATCATGCTATTTATAGTCTTTATTTAACTTGGTATGAATATTCATGTTTTGCTGAAGAAGTACTAAGATGTTTGATTTTGGGATTCTGTGCCAGAACTTGCTAGTGGTATCATGTTGACAAAGACTCTCTCCTTTAACCTAACTTGAGTCAGGCTCCTCTGAGTCCTTTTTCTGACCAGTTCCTGATCTTGAGTTGTGTCCTGAACCTATTTAGTCTGATTGCAGCAAGAATCCTGCAAGTTAATTCAGAAAAAAATTCCCCGCTTTTGATAATCTGATCAAATTCCTCATCACTCTACCCTTATTATCTTATCACTTGTCTTGCCCTCAGCAAATGTCCTCTTAAAACAGTCTACTAAAGAATTACCCTACTTCTCAGTAATTTTCTGTCCACTGATCCCCATACTCTGTTCCTTGGCTATAAATCTCGACATGGCCTTATTGTATCCAGAGTTCACCCCCATCTCTCTTCCCTGTTACAAAACCCCCATACAGTAGTCCCCCTGAATAAAGTCTGCCTTATTGTTTTTATTAAATGTCAGGAATGATTTCTTTATCATATCACATATAATATCTTCAGAAATATTTCTGAACACTAAAATACATCTGTCCCCAAGGGTTTTGGATAAGAGATTGTAGACCTTTCCACTCCAACCGGCCCCATTTTCTTTTAAAGCACCTTGAGGTCATCTATGAACTACAGGTCACCAATTTACAACTAATGCAGCTAAACATTATGTGCAAAACAAACATAAGAAGACTCTGAAAAAATGGAGAGAAGAAAGTAGAGCAACTATGCGCCTTAGAACCTGAGGAAGAACACTGTGGCGAGTTCCTTGGATATTCTTTCAGCCTCATCTATCTCAGACTCGGAGATGAATAAGTTGGCAGCCTAGAAACACCAACAGATCTATAGATACAGAAAGTCCCAACAAAAGCTTGCTTTCTCTAGCCCAGGAACGGTGCAGCATAGCAAGACAGAAAACTTTTAGACAATAACTATTCTATTCCAACCAAACACCACAGAAAAACTCAGGTGCAATCCCCAACCAAATCAGCAAAGGTGAAGTGGGGAGGCTAGACATTTCACCCTCACAGGGCTGTAATTAGGTGTCCCAACACTCCCCCTGGATGATGTTAGAGAAGGTCATGAAGGAAGCCAGGACATTTATTCACGCTGGCTGGTAACCAGCCTCGCCCCCACCCTCTCCATCAAGATGACAGCCTGACTTCCACTCCCAAGGGCATTAACAAGGTACTCTTCCCCCTCCCCTCAGGGGTGGCATCAGAACACTAATAGAGTCAGGACTGTCATCATTATCCACAAGGACTCGCCGTCCCTGCCAGGTTGATCATAGAAACTACATGTGGAGCTGGAACTCCCAACCATACACAGCAGTAACAAAGAGGTCCCTCCTTTCTTGGGTGACCCTTTCCTTGTCAGAGTAGTGTTTGAGAATTTCAAGTAAAACGGAAGATTTAAATACGATACAAAGTCTCATAATATAAAATGAAAGTTTTTAGGATTCAATTAAAAGTTACTCATACCAAGAGCCAGGAAGATACCTGATACGGTTTGGATCTGTGTCCCCATCAAATCTCACGTGGAATTGTAATCCCCAGTGTTGGAGGAGGGGCCTGGTGGGAGGTTATTGGACCATCTGGGAGGAGGTTTAGCACCATCCCCTCAATGATGTTCTCATGATAGTGAGTGAATCATCATGAGAGCTGGTTGTTTTAAAAGTATGGTGTGTAGTGCCTTCTCCCTCACTCTCTTGGTCCTGGCTCCTGCCATGTAAGACGCCTGCTCCTGCTTTGCCTTCTGCCATGAGTAAAAGCTCCCAAAGGCCTCCCCAGGAGCAGGTACTGCCATGCGTCCTTTACAGCCTGTGGAACCATGAGCCAATTCAACCTCTTTTCTTATAACTTACCCAATATCAGGTATTTTTTACAGCACTGCAAGAATAGACTAATGCAATCTCCAACTGAGTGAAAAAAGAAAACCAAGAGCTGTCAAGACTAAGATGACAGAGACATTAGAATTATCTGATAAAGTATTTTAAACAGCCATGATAAAAATGCTTCCACGAGCAAAATTTGAACATACTTGAAGGACATGGAAAAAATGCAAAGCCTCAGCAAAGAAATAGAACCAAGTTAAAATTTAAGAACTGAATATCACAATAACCAAGTGATATGGTTTGGCTCTGTGTCCCCGTCCAAATCTCATCTTGAGTTGTACTCCCATAATGCCCATGTTTGCGGGAGGGACACACTGGGAGATCATTTGAATCATGGGGGCAGTTTCCTGCATACTGTTGTCGTGGTGGTGAATAAGTCTCATGAGATCTGATGGTTTTATCAGGGTTTTCGCTTTTGCATCTTCCTCATTTTCTCTTGCCACTGCCATATAAGAAGTGCCTTTTACTTCCTGCCACGATTCTGAGGCCTCCCCAGCCACCTGGAAGTGTAAGTCCAATTAAACCTCTTTTTCTTCCCAGACTTGGGTATGTCTTTATCAGCAGTATTAAAATGGACTAATACAGTAAATTGGTACCAGTAGAGTGGTGAGCTGCTGAAAAGATACCCAAAAATGTGGAAGCAACTTTGGAACTGGGAAACAGGCAGAGGTTGGAACAGTTTGGAGGGCTCAGAAGAAGACAGGAAAATGTGAGAAAGTTTGGGATTTCCTAGAGATTTATTGAATGGGTTTGACCAAAAGCCTGACAGTGACATGGACAATAAGGTCCAGGCTGAGGTGGTCTCAGATGGAGATGAGAAACTTGTTGGGAACTGGAGCAAAGATGACTCTTGTTATGTTTTAGCAAAGAGACTGGTAGCATTTTTGCCCGTCCTAGAGATTTGTGGAACTTTGAACTTGAGAGAGATGAGTTAGGATATCTGGTGGAAGAAATTTCTAAGCAGCAAAGTATTCAAGAAGTTAGTGGGTACTGTCAAAGGCCTTCAGTTTTAAAGGGAGACAGAACATAAAAGCTTGGAAAATTTACAGCCAGAAGAGAGTAGGGCCAGCTTCCCAGTGGAACTGGGGCACATCCTCTCTGCAAGCCCTCCTGCCTGCCAGTCACTCCCAGGGCCCATGCCTTGCCACCCTGCAGGAGCAGGTCCACAGCACAGCCCCTGCAGCCCAGCCTGAGTGCATTGCTGCACCTGAGTAGTTTCCTGGTAACTACAGAGCAAATCAGATTTCCAGGGCTGTGGATAACCGCTCAAGAATATGGAGCCAGCACTTGAGTTGGGAAGGAGCCCTCACTCTCAGACTACTGAGAAGGGTGAGATGCATGGATTCCTGGGCTGGAGTGGCAGTGGGGCTTTCCTCCCTTTGCGGGGCCAGTCCAGAAAGAATGTGGCATATCTCCCTGCTACAGTCTTTGTGCAAGGGGGCCCCATGGCCTAGAATGCCCAACAACAACAACAACAAAACAGAGGTACAGTGCCAGTAATTGAAGTGGGCTCCCCCAAGGCTCAGGAGTGGACCTGGTAAGTGGGCCATCTCTCCCACTCCTTCACCCCTACTTCAGAGCACACATGCAAACACAAAGAAGTACTAAAGAGCTGTGCAGAGTATTAACGCAGCTACTGGCCACTACTCTTAAGTGCCATCTACTGGACTGCGGCCCAAACTACAACATCAAAAATTATCCTGCTAATATACACGCCTGTGAAACCAAGCACGACAATTCACCACACACAAAGATCCTATACAGAGCCCTTGCCCTTGAAAACATCCATAAATGAAGCCAACTGACTATAATTAACTTACACCACAGTTCAAAAAACAGCAGCTCTGCCAGATGAGAATCAACATAAGAACTCTGGCAATTCAAAAAGACAGAGGTTCCCCTTTCCTCCAAAGAAGTCTACTAGCTCCCCAGAAAAAGCTCTTATCAGTCTAAAGTGACTGAAATGACAAACATAAAGTTCAGAATCTGCATGGCAAGAAATCTCATTGAGATTCAGGAGATATTTGAAACCCAATCGAAAGAATTCAGTAAAATGATCCAAGAGCTGAAAGATTAAATAAGAAAGAAGAAAAACAAACTTTTTAAAGTTATTAAACCAAACCATTTTAAGAAAGAAGAAAACCAAACTTCTAGAGCTAAAAAACTCACTACAAGAATTTCATAATACAACTGGAATATTAACAGCAGAATAGACTAAGATGAGGAAAGAATCTCAGAGCTCGAAAACTGCTTCTTCGAATCAACTCAGTCAGACAAAAATAATGAAAA